GTCCCTGACCCTCCTTTGATTATTTTTATTTTATTTTATTTTCAAAAGAAAAATAGTGTTTTATTAACTAACACACTGTTATAATACACTTTAAGGTACAATAAGGTAGCCTTTAAACTTGAGGTGGTCTTAAAGATAACAAATGAACAGAACTCCAACTTTTGAAATAGGTGAGCTGCTGCAGTTATAGGTATACATTTAGGAAAATTGTATAGCTCTTACAACACCAGCAATGTAATTTTATTTTGTACATTTTTTAATTGAAAATATAAACAGTAATTAAAAAATAAAAAAATACAGCATAATAAAAAACATACATGTCTCAATTAAATGTCCTGGATACATATAAATTTTAAGGGAAGAAGCAAAAGAGGAAAATGGTTACTATTTAAGTGCAGACTGGCTACCAAGACAAAAAAACAAGAAATAATCATAAAACCTCTGGTTTCTATGACTAATACCCATATGGTTGGAGTATCTTCACTGTGGAAGTGATTTTGCTATGTTTGCATATGTCATACTTTACTGGTGATTTATAAGATGGCTTTTGAGGCCCTGGCAGACATGGTTTCTGGAAACAAGATTGGATAAAAATCACTGCGTCTTATTTTCTTTTCTGCTCCTCCAAAATTCAGGAGAAGGGATAATTCACTGGAACATCTTCTTACCACCCAAATGCCTCAACCTACACATTTAAAAACTATTTTTAAAACATTGGTTATATTGCCCAACTTCATTATTGAAAGAATATTAACAAGACATTATTTTGGAAAATTAAATCTCTTTTAAAAATTATTTATTTAATCACATAATTAGGAGAAGCATTTCATTACATCAGCATTGACATATTCAATAATAATTTCCAGAGCTAAGATGCATCGCTTTCCCATTTTTAGGTTTACATTTGAATTATTAGTTATACAATATTGTACTCCATATAAACCCTATAAGACATAAAATTAAATGAGGTTTTAACCTTTAAAAAAGATCTCCAGTTCATTATTAAAATGCAAGGTTTCATGCAGAAAACTTCATTTTTAATGCAATTGACATTAAGATGTTTGCACATGCATTTCTAATCTCTATATATCAGATTATTACTAGTCACAATCAGTTACTTTCTGAGCTCCTTGGAATCTGAGAATGGATATCAAGTCATCAGGTAGATTACAAATTTAATTATTTT